AACAGCGTCATCAACCCCCAAATGTGGCCGGTAGGCAAACTGCAGGGGATCAAGAGACGATCTCACCTGCGACTCAAGATGGACCAACACCAGCCTCTCCAGCACCTTCATCACATGCGATGTGAGAGCAATTGGACGATAGTCCCCAAGGCCTGATGGTACTGGTTTCTTGGGTACCGGAACCAAACAAGAAGTCTTCCAGAGAAGTGGCACCTTCTCCAGACTTAGGCTCAGGTTGTAGAGGTGTTGGAGAACAGAGGATAGCTGTCTGGCACACACCTTCAGCAACCTGGGGCTAATGCCATCTGGACCTGCCACCTTTGATTGATTTAACCTCTCCAACTGTCCTCTCACCTGGCCAGCTGTTACACTCAAACAAGATAAAGGGTGCTGGATGGGGGGATGGATATCCCCAGTAGGGGGGCAAACTGACATCTGAGGGGCCGAGTTCACCACTAAGGGCAAAGAGGCGAACTGTGAGAGAGACAGAGGAGGTGAATGAGAAGGGTGTGAGGGGACCAAAGAAGGGTTAGAGGAGACAGGGGAAGGCTGAGAGCTAAACCTATTAAAATAGGTATTGAACTCGTTAGCCCTCTCTGTGCCTCCAACAGACTGTCTACCTCTCCCCCCAGTTCCAATGATCTCCTTCATCCCAAGCCACACTTCCCTCATATTGAGCACATGGCTGTGATGTCCCACAGCTGCACTTAGTTTTGTTATTCAGCTTGGTTTGATTTTGTTACTTTTGGAGACAATATCCATATCTAGTCTCATACAAGTTAAACCGGTCACATTTAAGAATAATGTTATTTGAAATTCTAGCAATGGCAATACAAAATGGCTGTGGATTAGGAGGTAGAGCGGGTCATCTCCTAGCAGCAGGGTTGGCGGTTCAATTCCAGGCTTCTCCAATCCAAATGTCGAAGTTTTTTTTTTTTAGCAAAACAGTGATATCACCGGTGTGTGAATGTGTATGGGTGAATGGGAAATAGCGTAGAGCTCTTTGAGTGCGCTTCAGTGCTTAGAAAAGCGTTATATAAGTATAAGGTGAATACTTTGGGACCATTTTGTTGCTGACTGAAAATTGATTCCAGTTCTCTGATGCGACTACCCAGATGTTTTTTCTCTCTCAGTTGCTGTTGAATCACACTAACAGAAAAAAAACTAGCTCTGTTTCACCTTGAGTCAGAACAAAATAAAACCTTTATTCCCAGAGAATCTGGAATATTCCCTGAAATGTTCCGGATTTTACACGTTCACTCTGTTTTTAGATGCAGGTTTACAGTGCCTTGCGAAAGTATTCGGCCCCCTTGAACTTTGCGACCTTTTGCCACATTTCAGGCTTCAAACATAAAGATATAAAACTGTAATTTTTTGTGAAGAATCAACAACAAGTGGGACACAATCATGAAGTGGAACGAAATTTATTGGATATTTCAAACTTTTTTAACAAATAAAAAACTGAAAAATTGGGCGTGCAAAATTATTCAGCCCCCTTAAGTTAATACTTTGTAGCGCCACCTTTTGCCGAATACTTTCGCAAGGCACTGTAGCTTCCTGTACCTAGTGATGTGACAACTGAGTGTAATTCCTGATGGTGTAAAATTGGTGCTAATTGTGCATGATGCAAAACCAGACACTGCTTACACAACCACAAAAAAAGCTTCTGTGAATCCTGTTTGGATTGGAATCCCAACACACACACTTCTACGACACTGCTGCTCCACTGACCACTGCTGATGAATGGTTGGGTTGTTGACTGATCAGAAGCATGTGACCGGTGAATGTGTGGGCTGATCGGCATCAACTAGTCACACTTGGACTATATCTCTGTCTCTCTCGCTCTCACACACACAGATAGTGGCAGAGCCTGCTTACAGAAACACACAAACACATTCATCTGCTTCATATTCATCACCATCATCAGTCATCTGTCAACCATGATGCACAGCAAAAAACAGATCAGGTAAGAAATCACCTGTTTTACATCAGTATGACAGACAAACATGTGAGTGCTGTTGCTGGACAAGTGTGAACAGGGTCCAGGGAGGATTTGGGGTCTGGTACTGTCTTGTCCAGGCTTCCCTGCAGGGACCTAGAGGGAACCGGCATTGTGGTTATGATTGTCATCCAAATCCAACAACCACCAGCTTGAATCAACTTGACTTTTTGACTTTTGTTCAGTGAAGCAAAAGCTCGACCTTATGGTGACTTTAAGTAGAGCAGAGAGCTTAAACTATTGATTAGAAAGAGATTTTATTGATATTCAGAGCTGTAAGTGAATCAAACTATTTATTAATGATTCTTTCTCAATAGAGTAACATCTGAAGGTTTAAGGAGGTAGCTGCCTATAACTGCAGACTGATATTGGTTTAGGAGGATTTGGGGTCTTGTCCTGAATTATGAAAGAGGGAGGTCTGGAGGGAACTCTGTTTGCAGGTTCGTGGTAGTCAATTACTGAGTCGAAGACGCGTCACCTCTCATCCAAGAGGCTTCAACAGTTCTGCCCAACCAGCGTTGAGTCGGAGATATAGTATTTATCCCCATCAGTGGTGGTTCAGTCCTTTGATGGCCAACAATGTCCCCTAATGACTGAGTCATTATAGTCCGATATCGGTGAGCGTTGTTACCGGTCTTTGAACCCTCACGTGTGGACTGACGCCTATTGTCCTGGTGTGAATTAGGGTGGGTGTCGGTCCACACGTGAGGGTTCAAAGTTGTTTTGTATCACCTTGCACTTGCTTAATGACTCTTTATGGATGTTTCTCTCTTTGAGAACATCTCTTTGGAGATATTTTTGTCTCTATCTGGTTATTTTGTGTATCATTTTGGTCGTTTTGTTTCTCTTTCTGGGTTTCTTTTTCAGGGGGGCCCCTGAGCCTGTGCCCTGTGGCCCCATTCAGTAATCCATCCATGATGGTTGCAGTCAGGACAAAGTGCAGTATGCCTGTTTCCATAGGGGCACTATTTCATGAATTTAACACCAAAACACAAGATTACAGCTTTAAAAGAGTTTTGTCATTTCACAGTTTTTAACATTAATGTGCAACGCCCAAACTGTAATGCAGAACAGGATCATATCATTAATTATTCCTCTTACCTCTGTTGTAAAAGGTGGATCAATGGGCCTGATTTGAAAGAGAAAACGATGTGCACGCTATAAATGACTTTTCATCTCACAAAAGACCAGGGGACAGACCGACCTGGCCTGAAACTCCCCTGAGGATAATTTAGGCCCAAACAAAGGGAGAGCAGCTGTACCGGCAGCAGCATGATGTGTTACTGATCACGGAGCAGCTGAAATGGAAAAAACTGCAATAAGTGTCACTGTTAATACTTTTCAAACTCTGTCTCCCACAAAAATCACATTTCTCTCCTGTGGTTGTGATGACGATGATGATGATGATGATGATGATAATGAAACAGTGCGGTCAGGGCTGACAGGCAGTGATAATACTACTACAGCTCTGACTGTTAATACTACTATAAATGATAAAATAACATCCTCCTCTCCTCTCTGCAGTCATGATGAATGCCAGGAGACAGCTGATTGGTTGATGTCTCAGACGAAGCATCGCCCCCAAGTGGCGATCATCTGTGGGTCTGGACTGGGCATGCTCGCTGACACCCTCAAGTGTCAGGTCTCCTTTGCTTATTCTGACATACCGGGCTTCCCTCAGAGCACAGGTTCGGCATTATTTTAATATTAACAGCATTAAATAACTTTATTATTGGCTAGCAGTTATCTAGATTGCTCTAATCCAAAGCTGGCAGCACAGAGTTGGGCACAAATTATTTATTCACACGTTGTATATTTTACACTTTGATGAACTGCAAAACAAATCACTTTAATGTCTGTCTATAAAAACAGTAATATTTAAGAATATTTTAAAGTGCTTTATTTAAAAAATGGAGATGAGGTTTTTTTGATGCAAAAAGTCTTTAATTCCACATGTGAAAACATGATTAAAAAAAAGTGAAGTTTCAGTCAAAGGACCATTGTCGGTACAACTAATGATGCTCGTCTTCTTTTGTTGATTTTGGTGATACATGCCTGGCACTATTTCTTGAAAAGCGTACTTTAATAGACTCTTTCAACATTGTTTCAGCGACTGATGAATAATATATTATATATACTGTATGTTTCATATATAAGTGCCACTTCTTTTAGTATTTTCTAAACAACTAAATTCCTGTAAAGCCACAATTTACTACTAGAGCCTGTAGTTTTGCAATAGTCAAACGGTCAATTTGTTTATCGACCGAAAAAACTGCAGCTGATCTGTACGAAATTTATCCTGATTCTGAAGTTAGTCAGGGGTAATCAGTACAGTAGTACTAAAAACTATATAAATCTGTAGGGGGAAGTGAAGAAAACCCAAGACTGTCTGTTTGATTTTTAGAACATGCTTGTAGCCTATTAATAACTACCTGTCAGGATGTGTTTAGTCTAGCTTAGCAGAGGCAAACTGATAGCCTAGCACCATTACAAAAAAAACTCCACACACAGTGTTTAGGGGCTAATCAGCATCACTGTCTGTGTCTCACTGGAATTCAAGATTTGTATTTGTCATTTATGCATAAACACAGTCGAGGCATATAGGAATTCTTGTGCAGGGCTCTCCTTGAGTCAAGTTAAGAGTTTAAAGCCAAAAGAATGAACACCTAGTCTAAATATAAGATCACCCAAGAATATAAAAGAATACAAAAAACAAGAAAACCCAAGAATACAAAATAGTTGATAAAATTGTGGATACAGGAATAAGATAGCAGGTAAAATGGGCAGTTTCAAATATTGCACATAGTGGAATTGTATATGGTCTTCTACTTAGTAGGGTAATGAGGGGTTATTGCAGAGGTTTTTCACATTTTGTATTTGCCATCAGTCTTACTGCAGCAGGGAAAAAGCTGTTGTAAATTCTTGTTCTGTATGTGATGATACTGTTCGCTCTGCTGTGCCTGAGGTTGCGGGTGCAGTTTTTGTGTCTGAGCAGAGTGTGAGCTTGGTGGAGTGGGTCTCTGATTATGTTCTCTGTTCTTTTGCAACAGCACTGTGTGTATATTGTGTCCATAGTGGGCAGTTCAGTCCCAATCCTGAATCTGTCTGTGTGTTGCAGTCCAGGGTCATGCAGGTCGGCTGGTTTTTGGGGAGTTGAAGGAAAAGACGTGTGTGTGCATGCAGGGTCGCTTCCATATGTATGAAGGACACTCACTCAGCAAGGTATACATACACACATGCGTTCTTGTCATTCTGTAGTTGTGAGGACACACTGATTGACTGCATTGTCTTGCTCTTTACTCTTTTCTCACTTTTAACTGACAATAAATGTAGATAGAACAGTAAGCAGTAAACACAAATAAATTCAGCATCTGAGAAACACTTCACACAAACACACACATCTAGACTGAGCTTATCTGACAGGAGACACCACTCCAGTTTAAGTTCAGTGGAGATAAAAACAGATGTCTCCATAACAAATCGGACGTTTCTTCCATTTGAGAGGCAGATAACAACAAGGTTATGACGAGATGTCTGTCTGTTTGTCTGTCTGTCAGACAACATTTCCAGTTCGAGTCTTCAAACTGTTGGGGGTAGAGACTCTGATCGTGACAAATGCTGCTGGCTCATTGGCAGACGACCTTCAGCCTGGTGATATCATGATCATCAAAGACCACGTTAACTTCCCTGGACTGGTTGGTCTGAACCCACTCAGCGGACCCAACAACGATGAGTAATTTAGATACATACCTGGTTATGTGTTGTTTTCTTCATGTTTTGTTCTTCTTTCACGTATGGAACATTTTTTTTCTCTCATGTTGTTCACTGTGATCATACTGTGACTCAGTTGTCATGGTAACAAGTATTGATGCTGCTGTTTAATCATTGTTGATAGTTTTATTAATTGTTGTTGTTCGCAGGTTCGGGCCTCGTTTTCCTGCCATGTCAGGTTGCTATGACAAAGGCCTGCGTTGCCTTGCAATGGAGATTGCCAAGCAGCAGGGCATAGCCAGCCTCATGCAGGAGGGTGTGTACGCCATGGTGGGAGGGCCAAACTTTGAAACCATCGCTGAGGCTAAATTGCTGTATCGACTGGGTGTTGATGCCGTCGGTATGACACACAGACACACATTTTCCTCTGGATCCAACACAGTTCCCTTAATGCGTCTTTGCCAACCAATGAAGTTGCAGTTAACATGCATTTCTGTCCCGACTTATGTAATATATTTTAACAAAGACTTCAAAGGATCTTGTTTGTAATAAATAAATGTGCAGCACTTTTACTGTAGAAATGTTAATAAGGGGGCTGGAGCCAATCCCAGCTGATTGGGGTGAGAGGCGCGGTCCACCCTGGACAGGTCACCAGTCTATCACAGGGCTGACATGTAGACAAACCACCACACACACTCACTCCTACAGTCACCAGTCGGCTGTGGCTCGAACCCAGGAACCTTCTTGCTGTGAGGCGATAGTGCTAAGCACCATGCCGTTGTGTCACCCATGTGAAAACGCTCACTGACAAAACTACATTCTCTCACCAAGAGCTCTAAGACACAGCCACAATGTTTATGTTAATACTGTAACTTAGTGGTGGCAAAGTGGCATTTAAATGAATGATCAAAAACCAGCTGACACACAAGGAGCCTGGAGCTTTTTCCCCACTTTGCCAAGATGGAAATCTAGCTTTAAAGTATGTGGACATTTTGACGAGATATCTGAGATTGATCACAGAATGCAGATGTCTTTCACATGAACTTGATCGTCTTTCATCAGGTGTGTTAACTTCACCTTTTTGATAATGTGTCAAAGTTTTCTGAAAATATTTCTAAAGTATGGAAAAGGAGGAGAAAAACAACTTACAAAACAACATCCACATACTTTATGTTTATGGATTACAAAGTAGATAGATGTACAGTGGACCGTTTTAACTGATATAAACAAACGTGTTTGCAGGTATGAGTACAGCTCCTGAGGTCGTTGTGGCGGCTCATTGTGGCCTGAGAGTCTTCGGCCTTTCTCTGATCACCAACAAGGTAAACATATAGCTGACACACCAACTGGTACATGGATTGGATGGATTGTGATTGACAACACAACAGCAGGACATAAAGTGACTGATCAGCTGATTAATAAGACTGATAAACTGATAATCGTTAGAGCTTCAGTGACAAAATAACCTAGTGATGCAGACTGTGGAAGAATAAAACAAGCTCACAGCTGTCCTTTCCAAACATTGAGCAGCCAGTCGTGTCTCGATGATACCAAAAGGAAAATTCAAAGTAAAAAAAACTTACAGTAATATCTAAATGCCACCACTTTAACATGTTCGAAAGGAGCTTAATTAATTAACCTCTTTATGACCTACTGATGTAAAAGTAATAATAATATAATACTGATTTAATTAAATGATTACCTGACTGACTACTCTGTGTCAGGTGGTGAAGAGTTACGAGGACTCAGACAGTGTGAGCCATGAGGGGGTCCTGTCGGCCAGCCAGCTGCGTTCTCACACTGTGCAGCAGCTGGTGATTGATCTGATCGGCAGGATGGAGATCAATAACAGCAAGACCACCAATAATGCTGTCTAAACACACACACACACACACACACACACACACACACACACACACACACACCATGTATATGTTGTGGTAATGTATGGCCAGGTGTATGGTTTTCGGACCAACACCTACAGCTCCAAAACAAATCTGGGTCCTATTTCCCGACTGCCCTTGTTATCAAATAATAGGACAGCATTAATTTTGGTTGAAGTTGGTTTTTACTTAACAGAAGGGTTTAAATAACAATAGTCAGTCCCTTTTTTTATATGTCGAACAAACATCTGCAGACAACAGTAGTGGACTTATTCCTAACAGCACAAAACAGACACGACTGAATATACACTCAAAATTATCCATGCACAATCTGGTACAACTATATCAACAGATAACTTTCCAGATACAATATATTCAGACTTCACATTAGAAGCAACTCAAACTCACTTCAAGATGCCGGAATTCCTGTTCAGGCTGGAGTAAATACCCCGAACTCGTAGACAGTGTTGTCTCCCCTCTGAACAAACCAAATTCACAATGTCAAATAACACAGAAATACAACCTGTAACTCATACAGACTTCATATAATTTCTGTCAGACACTTACGCCGTCACGGAGCTTTGTATTTCCCTGCGTTTCTCTCTTTTTCTCCTTCTCGGTCTCTGTTTTTCTTTTTTTCCCGCGGGACACTCGCCTGTCACACAGTGATGACGTCACAACATATGCGCCCTCATACAACTGTGGGTGAGCACTGCATGTATACAACTATCATAGCGACACCCAGTGGGCACTTACTAAACAACACCTTACTGCACCAGGGAGAGTTTCAGTTACTCCCCTTAGGAAACTGTAATTTTATTACTTGACCCGGCTACATATATATTAGATTGTTGTAATTACAGCAAGTTTTCTCCTGTTTTTGTCTTTTCTGTAGTTAAAACACTATTTATAGTGACATGGTGGCTAAGAATTTTCCATCAGGGTAAATCTGAATGCAAGTATTAATTTGTGATCCTGCAGATTAATATAACAATTACCACTGTGTTATATATATTTAAAAAAAAATCGGTGACCAAGCTTTTTGTGAACAGCCCCAAAGAGCCTACAACCATGACAGTAGCTCTGTCAGTTTGTAGTCTCTGTTGGCAACCTTGATTTGTTTAGGAATGTTTTCTTTCAACTTTGAATGTGAGATGGTTAAAACATTCTGCTTATTTCTGAATATATTTTCTTCCAACTACAGGACAGGCAGGTATGTTGAACCTCTAAATCAATATGTGCTTGAATGTTTGACAGTGACTGCTCTTTGTACGTATCATTGTGACTTTATGTTAAACCTGTCTTAAACAAGTGCTGCTAGCACCTCCTACAGGCTGCCGTGTTTATTATAGTCACAGCGTCCTGATGAGTTAGCCTCACCAGTGGTGGAACCCTGAATCATCGATATATTTGCATTTACCAAAGCCACTGTCACAGCCGCTGTCACCACTTGTCCACATGCTTATGTACTGTTTATGGAGCTTTCAATCATATCACAATATTCTTCAGACGACAGAGTTCCTCGGTTTTTCTGTGGATCGTAGGTGTTTAAATTTGAATTATTGTCTGATCAGTTAAAGGAGTTGTTTTCTGTGCTTGCATAAAAGTTATGGTTCAATCTCCATCTGCTGAGGAGGATTGTGTGATACGATCGAGTGCTCCAAATACTTAATGGGCCTTGTGGTAAATTATTTTGGTTCCAAGATCAAGAATAAACTCTAAACCATACTTAGTCTACCTTCTTTATTCTATAAAGTTGTGTGGTGTTGCAAAGCAGAGCCCACTGCTTCTCCCCGCTGTTCAAGTGTCAGTGTGATGATGACCCAGGCATTGACTTTCGACCTAGTCGTCGTGTCCCTACTGGTTCTGCTGCTGGTTCTGGTGGTGCTGCTGCTTGTCTGCTGGATCCTCAGACGCAGTAGGAGCAGGTACAGTTACTTCACACAGGAATCATCATCAGCTCAAGTGTGCAAGTCTATGTCAATCCAAGGTTATTTTTATTTAACTGATTGTGAATTTTTCATTTCGTGTCATTGCTGATGTTCTCAGTCTTGACCTTGTGCATTCAAAGCCTTTTCAAACCAGAATTGTTCAGTCCAGTAAAACCTGGGTTGTTTTCCCCCTTGGTGCGGTTCATTTTGGCAGATGAATACACTGATCACACTCAGATATGGACCAAATCAGCTTCACCGAGGGCCTTTAGAAGACGTGGTCTCAGACCAGACGCACACAAATTCTGGTGCAGTCTGTTGTGATCCAAGCTCTTTCTGACCCAACTACAAGGTGCAGGTTTGTGCTAAATAGCTCATGCAGCCCAGTGTGCTGTGCATATTGAAAACCACTAGAAGCTAGCCAACAATACAACTCAAGGTCTGACCTGGACTTGCAACTTTCAAGTACATTGCCTTCTTGTTATGTGTTTCTTTAAAGAATATATATTGTTCAGTCTCTTGTTATGTGTTTCTTTAAAGAATATTGTTGAGTTTGTGCTACATTTGGATGAAAACCTTGCTAATGTGTGTTGTGGGTCAGAGTTTATAACAATTTCTGTGGGTTGTTGTTGCTCAGAAACCTCACAGAGCTACAGATCTCATCAGGACAACCTCCTCGCGTTTTGATCATTAGAGCCAAGCCAGATGACACCCTCCAGCTGCTGGACCACCTGCTGGACCGAGTCTTTCTCCAGGGAGAACCTACATTAGAATCTGGAGGAGAACCTGGGGCAGAACCTGGGGAGGAACCTAGAGGAGAACCTGGAGCGGAACCTGGAGGAGAACCTGGGGCAGAACCTGGAGAGGGACCTAGAGGAGAACATAGATCATATTCTGGATCAGACCCAGAGGTTTTTACAGTAGCACCCTCTCACCCCATTACAGGTACAGTACAGTAGATGTTACCGAACCAAACTTTTACAGAGCTTTTTAGATTTCCCCCTTTCAGTTCAGTGCATCTTATGTAAACTGTAAATACTGTATAAAAACAAAACAAAAAAGAGAATAGTGCCCACATGTGACAAGAGTCAAGTAAATAGCACAAAGAAATAGAACTAACTAGAGGGGGTAACATTTTAATGAATGCCTGTTTCTACAGAAACAATTTTAGGTTTAAAGCTCAGAAAAACATGGAAGTGGAAAACAAATGTAACCAACAAATGAAATTTGTTTCAGCTCAATAAGAGTGCTGAAAGGGCTGAAAAAGGAGTATAGCTGAGAGACAGCACGCCCTGTCTCATTTTGACTGGATTTATCAGACAATATATAAAATCTTAGTTAATGCACCTTTAAGGATGTATAACAGTTTGGTTCAGTTTAGGCATCTCACTTATATAAATTCTTACATTTATTTGGTGAAACCTAATTTAATGATAAACACTGTACAATGCAACTAATATAAATAAAATGTATTTTTTTAAAAATCACTTTTCTTATTGATGTTTCTATTCAAAAATTTATTCTCACTTTTATTAATACTATACTGTAGTTATATGTAGTTATTTCATTTTTCTTCTAATTTAATTATGAATTAATAGAATAAAATTTACTGTGATGTCCTCACCTACAGATACTCCGTCTTCCTCCCCTCATCCTCCTACTCCGATTCAGGATCAAGCCAATGACCTTGGCCCTCTTCAGTTGGATGAATCCCAGCATGCATCTCTCTCCTCACAAGGTGCCTCCTGTAGTGCAAGATCCAAGGAGGAGAGCCAACATGACTATTCACAAGTTTAGAGCGCAATAAAGAAATCACTGGTCATTTCTGTCAGGATAAATCTCTTTCATTTTAATATAACAATTCAACATAAAACACTGGCTAACTGCTGAAAAAATATAAAGTCTTAAACATTAAATTATACAGCTGTCTGCCAGCAAACCTCAAATATTATGTCAAGTTTAATTATGATAGGGAGATTTCTATACGAGATTTGTCAATTTAATATTTAACAGCAGCTTCCAGCTCTGTGCTATGACATTTTGTTTTACATTTGGGTCACTGACTAAAGGTAATTTCATTAATTATTCTCAGTGATTGTTATTTACTATTGTCATTTCTTATTCACGACTAAGAACATTTTTACTGAACTGCAGCTGTGGAGTGTTGCATTTCCTCAAGTGACCACGTGGGGGCAGCAGGACTCACTGTTCCACATAATACTAACACTGCCATCAGGTCTACTAATGTCATACAGTTCTGCTGCAAATAATTAATTTCAGTACAAATAATCTAGAAAAAAAATTAACTAGGCAGAAAAGAGGTTCATATCTAATGGACAGTAGCTGGCAGGCATAGTATAAAATAATAATGTCACAGAAAACATTAACAGTTTTATGTGGTTTGCTGAATGTTTTTCATACCAACTGAAAAAACTTTAAAGTTTGTAACATCGGTAGCTGTTGCTGATTTGTAAATTTTTTCTCTGAATATATGAGATTCAGTAGCTTTATTTTCACACTCTCCAGTCAGGTTCCAAGTTATTCAAGGGTGTAAAAAAGAAAACTATAAAATTACCAATAGATTATATACATTACAAATGCAAAAGTACCAAAATATACAGAATATTATAACAACTTTTAGATATCAAATGTACAATTTACAAAAATAAATTTATGAGCCAGCCATTAGATAGAAATAAGAACATGCTGTAGTAGGTTTTATAGTAGGTCCTTTATTCTGTATGATAATAGGTTCTGGTGTGAATAGGTGAGGTGAGATCTTCAGGTACATTTCCCTGTAAATATGAAGGAACAGTTTTCACCACCATTTGCTGTTTTTTGTTGGTTTGTTTGTTTACAGCATAACTTAAAAAGTAATGAATGGATTTTGATGCAATGTTCTAGAGTAGCGTAAGGCCCATGAAACAATCCATTAGATTTTGGTGCTGATCCAGATCTTCATCCAGATTCAGGATTATGTTTTAAAAACATTCATGACTATTACACTCTCATTAGGGCCTGGCTGTTTGAAGGGGATACTTCCAGTTTTGGGTTATATCTACCTCTTACTGCTACATGGTGTGAATGCACCTATAGCCTCTTACAAATATGAATATGAATATTCTGTACTCTAGTTAATGTAACGTAATATTGTTTTGGATAAAGGTAGCAGCTTTGTCCTACTTTTTATGGATTTGGGGAAGGACTCTTTAATAACTCTAAAACACATTAAAACAGGCAGCTAAACTCGAAACGAATCTACTTTCTAAAACAGCTAAAAATGAACAAAGTCAAGTAACTGTGTATCTGGTCAGTGTGCCTGCAGAGGGAGTAAAGCAGCTGGTTGGATTTGATGAAGAGGATGGTCCTAACTGGACTGGATGAGGTGATGGAGATCCAGGAGGAAACTCCTCCTCTTAAATGTTAAACTTTTAGACTGCGGGGGTGGATAAAACCTAAACATCTGGGAGTTTCAGTGAGAGCACTCACACACAAAGGAAGTGATCTGTGTGTCTCTGTAATCTAATTTTCCATGTCCGCTCACGTGTAAATTAAGAAGTCACATTTCTGCTAGAAAAACATATGAAAACCTAAGAACAATATGAGAACTTGTTAAGTCCAAATTATGACCTGCTAAATTTAAATTGTGGCTTTCACAATTAGTCCCTCACTCATATCTTTGTCAGTTAACTACTGTAGTAAATACATTTCTAGTTAGTTAATTGGACCTTTGTATTAATTAAATAGTTTATTTATTCTGTATTGTCAAATCACAACAAAAATCATGTGAAGGGACTTTGCACAATAAGGTCAAGACCTCACACTATTATCATAGAAAAACCCAACAATCGCAGCCCTAGGTGGTTATGGTTATGGTTAGGATAAGGTTAGGCTTCAGGTTAAAGGAACCGTATCTCAATGAGGAAACAGACTTAGACACAACACCAGTCCTTTTTCTGCCAACTAGTAAATCTTTGCTTCATTAGCCATATCTCTTTAAACATAGAAGAAATATCTCAAGTCATTTAAGCTTCAGGTCTGTGAATAAACTAAATATTTAAAACTTACAGACAGTCTGTTGTGTTTTCTGTATTTTAGAGGTTTATGGTAAAGAAAGCTAATCTGCAACTTGACTTCAACCAGAGACAGAGTCTGAAAAAAAAGAAAAAAGCTTGTAAAAACTAGTCCATCCAGAAAGAACTGTTTCTGAGCTAAACTGTCTTTTGGGTCTAACAGGAAGTGACCCAAATGTTCCTAACCCTCCACAGTGATAAACCAACACACACACACTCCCCCTTCAGATATCTGGTTCTGCTCTGCTGTCGCTCTGACACACTCACAGAGGGAGGTAGTTAACTCTGTGATTCCACTGCTGAATTTTTAACGTGTTGTGGAACTTTTCTTCCAGGCAGGTTACTGTGGCACCAGGGTACTGTTATACCAACAGAGACTGGGCAAAGTTCTGTTGTTTACCAAGGCTGGACGGAACCAGACTGTTCACTGGGTGTATGGTGAGTTTCTGTTTATGCCTTTATTTCTTTGAGTTGTTCAGCTGTTCCTTACAAAAATGCATGTGTGAAATTTACGTTTTCACACATTAAATATTGTATCTCACTGAAATATCCAAAAACAAATCCACATTACATCAGAACAAGGTCTTTTGGATATATTACATGTGAAAATTGCCATTTCAGTATGTAAAAATGTTTACACAGTATAGATTGATGTGGTTTTGTCTGTTTTTTTTAATTCTGAAATGTGAAAACATTGGTTTCTGTGAGGGGTTTTTGATGGTTTCTCTTGATGTGAAATCACTTGATGTGGTTCAGTAACACTGTAGAATTTGACCCTTGACCCCATGACTGATTTGTTGTGGATAAATGAGCAGAAATAGAAAATATCATTCTCATAGTTAGCATTTTAGAAGTTGTTACTCTTTTCCTAAATACACACAGTGTTTACACGTTTACAGAGTACCCCCTGAAGGCAGGGCTCTGACCCGCTCTGACTCGCCCTCACCATTGTGACTGCTGTACTTGACACCTTTAAATGCTTGAATTATTTATTGTAGGAGGTTTGTTTGTGCATCTGGAGTAACCAGAATCTGACCGGAGACTTGAGTTTGGTGGTTTCCAAATGATATTCAGTCTAAGTAGCTTTTAAGATTTTTGAGTGAATCAGAATCAGCTTTACTGACCAGGTCTGTTGAACATACAAGGGATTTGACTCTGGTACAGCAGCTCTTTCTGTCAATGTGTATGTACAATGTGCTTCGACCAGTGTGCCAGCACCTTTAAGTATTGAGTTAATAGGTAAAGGTGCTGTTGTACTGGACTACAATATAGTCAGAGGAGTCTCTATATTTTTGTCCTCTCCAGCTACATACATGAGAGGGTCAGAATATTAGAAGGAAGGAGTTCAGTTTGTGTCCAGGATGTGGAGGGTCGGCAGAAATCTTCTCTGTCCTTCTTTTGACCCATGAGGGCAGGGCAGCTCTGCTGATTCTTTGCTCAGTTCTGACTGTCCACCGGAAGTCTGTTCCTGTCCTGTTTGATTGCTGAAACAAACCAGACAGTGATGGATGAGCAGAGAACAGACTTGATGATTCCTCTGTAGAACTGTATCAGCAGCTCCTGGGGCAGATCGAACTTCCTGAGCTGGTTCAGGACGTACATCCTCTGCTGTGCCTTCTTGGTGATGGTTCTGATGTTGGACGTCCACTTCAGGTCCTGGGAGATAGTGGAGCCCAGAAACATGAAGGTCTCCACTGTAGAGTGATATGCACAGTTTCTTTAACTGATACTGGACCCACTACATACTTTTGGTTTGTGTTGTTAAAGAAAGCCAACATTTCTGTTTTTTGGACCAAAAAAAGAAAGAAATCCATGCTGTAACCCCCCAGATCCCAAGAACATGTCACACTGACTCTGATCTGCATGGGTCACACCCCCTATCAAGAAAAAGGCTACAATCCAAGGAAATTAGGTGTTAGTTTGCTATTTGTTTCACACAAAAATTAGACTGCTCGGCATCATCACATAATCCCACAAAGCAGCCACAGACATCAGAAGGTAATAAAGTTGTAAATGAGGGTTAGCTCAGCAGCCAACTGTCTGCAACAGTAATATCGCATCATGATTGTTTCATGGTCTTTTGATAAACTTTTAGCCAGACAGTGATGTGCTGTGTGTCACAGCTGAGCCCACAACAGAATATGCATTTTCAATATTCTGTTAGGATGGATTCACATAGACTTTTCACTCTGGAAAAAAAACACAGTCCTTCTCATTCATTTAAATGGGGAAAATGCGTTTACGCAGCAAAGACCAGCATCACAGTGGACTCTGCCAAAGCAACACGCCGTCATGTGGAAGAATTTGTTGGATGTGGTTCAACTTTTTCTGGAACTCAAGATGACATCACCCAGCAAGGTGCTGCTCTGGCCAATCACTTAGTACGAACGCCACATTTCTCCTTTTTACCTCCAGGTGGATGTGGATGGAGAACTTTAAAAAAAACAACACATCCATTTTCAGCTTTTCAGAAAGAATTAAATTAGTTTGGAGAGGGGCTGGGTCTTAACTTATCAGCTATAATCAGCATTTATATAATAACAAAATGACAAAGTGAAAACAATGTGAAAAAAGTGACCTGACTGAATTGGCTTTACAGAACCTTATAGTGAGTTTTAGCTCATTGTTTAGCTGTCCAGTCAGCAGCCACTTTACCATTTTGGTTCATCCTTGTTATTCTGATAGACCTAGAACAACTGCAGCAGGCTACTGTTTTCAGCAATAATTTCCTAAAAACCCAATAACTACCAAACACCAGACAGACACAGTTAGATTGACGAGCTAGTCAACACAGTAGAGCATTTAGCAGCTAAAGAGTCAGATATTACCTTCAAGAGTTGGTAGAGACCAAAAACAGAGGTAAAACAGAGTGAATATTGGACATAGATACATCAGGTGATCAGAAACACGACTCCAAATGAATCATAGCGTTGCTATGAAACTGCTGGATGTGTAAGTATACATTTGCTGACAAGTTCATCATATTAAAAAACTTTTTTTTTACTCCAGGGTTAAACATCCGCTCTGTCCTGATGTCTTTACCATAGCAAACATGACTCTCAACACCCAGAGAGAAAAGGAGCCTCTGCCGTGGCCATGCAGCACTCCAATTCCTCCTCCACAATTCATGCAGCACCCGTCCTGGAATCAGGACCTCCAGCTCCCTGGCAGCACCCAGCCTGACCCCAAGCAGCCCCAGCCCCAACACAGCCACCCTCCTCTGGGACAGTCAGCGTCCTACCATCCTGGAGACAAGTCCCTCCACTACCGGGCCCACTGGAGTTCAGACTCAGACGACGACTCGCAGAGTGACTCGGACTGTGTTTACAGAGTGGTGTTGTTAGGCGACCACGGTGTTGGAAAGACCAGTCTCGCTGGAATCTTTGCTGGGATCACAGAGAAAGATGAACAACCCGAAGGTGAGATGTTACTGGCCAAGTATGTTGAACACACAAGGAATTTGACTTTGGTACATTGGCTCCCAACCTGCTTCCATAAGACAACAAGAAAAAAAGGTGTGTTAAATATTGAAAAATTGAAAAAATTGTATTGAAAAATAATCATTTATGGTTGTATGATTAGTTTGTCTAGTTTAAGTGTTAATCATTAATGTTGCAGCTTTAAATAAACCTTCATAAACTATTTTATACTTTTTTCTTGTTGACCGCTTTACCAGGGTGTGTGTGCATGTGTTTTTTTGCTGTAGCTGATTTCCAATCAGTCTTCAGAGGGTTCACTTTCTCTAGCAAACATCTGTTGCATTGTTGTTGTTTTTTTAACAACCAACAAGCCCCTTTTTAAATTTGATCTGTTTATTGCTGAATAAATAAAAGAAATATTCGTTTGTAAATGTAGTTTAACATTTACATGACATTTGACCTCAATATATTGATCATTTTCATGTAGGATCCATTGTTTTTGGACTTTTGAGTCCAGAGTTCTCCATTTTTGTCTGCTTTTTAAAAAGTCTGTCCAACACAAGGCCAACAGCTTTATGGAAGTGACAGACTGAATCACTGGAGTACTCTTTAATTTTTTTCCAGTTGTTTGTGTTGTTGTTTTCACAATATAACTCAGTCCTAAGCAGATCAGTGTTTCTGTCCCTGACTTCACAACCTTGACTGACCCAATATCATCGATCAGCTCCTGGTCACGTGTTCATTGACCTGAGGCCATGGTTGATCCAGTTACAGTCTAACGAGGTGGGAGGGAGCAGAGCCTGTCTGCTGGTTACATTGTGCGCTAGTTTTACTTTTTTTATTGTTGTTGTCATTGTGGTTGTTGTTGTTGTTGTTGTGTGCTCTAATTCCTGGTGCTGTTATTTGCTTCAGGTTACTCACCAGGTTGTTGTTTGTCTCTTTATGATTGCAAATCTAAAGGCCAGCAGCTGTGATTTGCTGTTGGTCCTGTATACTGCTTATTGTTTGTTGCCATGTTCGTGGCACAGCTCTAGAAATAAAGGTGTCGGTTGGTCAGTCCACTACTTTGGCCCAGACTGAAACAAGTCAGCAGCTGTTGGATAGATTGGCATGACATTTTTAAAGGTACTGGCTCTGGTGATCCCCTGACAGTTCACCTTCTACAACTACCATCGTGTTTTCTTTTTTCTTTTTTTTACCTAAATACCCACAAAAGGAATGACATCAGCCTCATTGCCTCAGTCGATGTTAGCATTTCATCCTGTTAAACTTCATGAGCACTGTAAACATCATACCTGCTAAACATCGGCATATTAGTATTGTTATTTTTAGCATGTTAGCATTTAACAGAAAGTATAAAGAGCTACTGGCATGACAGCAGATTCTCTTGTTGTTTATTGTTTGTTACAGGGGACACATACGAGCGAACGCTGACAGTAGATGGAGAGGAAACCACACTTATTGTCATGGACACCTGGGAGAATGATAAACTGGTACAGAGTGTGTGTGTGTGTGTGTGTGTGTGTGTGTGTGTGTGTGTGTGTGTGTGTGTGTGTGTGTGTGTGTGTGTTTGCCATGAGATATCAGGTGTGAAGCCCTGCTCTTGTCATGAGTACATGATCATATGATCATCTACAGAAATAGCTGTTATCAGAGGTGTCTGGACAGTTTGGCCGCTGTGGAATTTGTGTCCAAATCCACATGAGATAACAACCATGTAGTCACACTTTACAGTTTGAATAATTATGATCAGGTTATGAAAGAAAGAGCTAAATATTTTCTTGTGATAATGAAAGTATTTATTTGTGATGACAAAAACATAAGCTGGTTATGTTAAATGCACAAAATGCCATTTTCGAGGAAAGCTTTAATTTTGAGAGACTATTCTTTTTAAAACCTGCACTCCTTTAGTGTATGAAAGTTGTGATGTTTAAATTATTATTATTATTTAAACGATTACAAATGAGTGAGTGTCAGGAATGCATTTGCCCCCATGCTGAATTTCCATACAGTTGGATCACAGCTGGTGCACCAGTTGGCAGAGGTGGGAGTAAGTCACATGTGTACAAGTCACAAGTATGTTGCAAGTTTTAACCTTGAAGACTCAGGCAAATCCCAAGTCAAGTCGAGTCTCTGCTATTAGTCAAGCAAGTCACAAGTCAACTCATACAAAACTCTGATGATCTTCCCCATTTTCCACATTTAAATCGGTTAAAAGACAGTGATCACAAAAAGTTGTTTTAATCATTAGCATAAAGTGTTGCACCTTGCTTTCACTTACACTTTTCTTTTGCCACGTTTACCCTACTGATATGTGGCATTTTGTGGCAATCAATAGCAAGCCTCCTATATGAGCAACAGTGGTGAGTGGGGCTGTGAAATAATAATATAGCCCCGTAGTTCTATACCTGAAAACATAAGTGAATGAATGTCATTTTTGGCTTTATCCCATTAGGGGTCACCATTTGTGGTGCCAACATGGCGCCATGTTGACATTTGGCACGTGTTTTATGCCGGATGAACTTCCAGACACAACCCTGATTCGAACCCGGGCCTCGGCAGCGAGAGCACTGCACCCTAACCACTAGTCTATCAGCTGAAAACATAAGTACAACACAAAAAAATTACAACACCATTTTAGGACTCCTGCCACGGCAGGCAATACATATTGTTATAAAAATAAATGTTATTTACTGGACTGCTCACACTGCTGCCAACACCACCCTGATCAGTGCAAGAAGCTTTAGAAGTAGACTAGTCGATCTGTATTTCCACAGTAGTTCTTAAATATCTGCATTTAAAAGATGTCACTCGCTCTCTCAGGAGGGGAAAGATGGCTCCTCTCAGGATGACTGTCTGAAGGTGGGGAGTGCTTATGTCATTGTCTACTCTGTCACCGATCGGTCGACCTTTGACTCTGCTGCTGAGCTCCGCATCACACTACGACGCACTCGCCAGGCCGACAACATTCCCATCATCCTCGTTGGCAACAAGAGTGACCTGGTCCGGTCTAGAGAAATTGCTGTGGAAGGTGGGGGTCAAAGGTCCAAAGGGATACTGTATATGCATACATCTATATATATATGCAACAATAGATAATCAGGTTTTGCTAATACAATCATTTATTCTCTTTATGTGTCTTTTTCTCCAGAGGGCCGAGCATGTGCTGTGGTGTTTGATTGTAAATTCATAGAGACGTCTGCATCTCTGCAGCACAATGTGGCCGAGCTGTTTGAGGGCGTGGTTCGACAGATCCGCCTCCGTCAGGACGGCAGTGAAGCTGTCCCTCGTCGACACTCTGTCTACAAACGCAAAGAGAGCCTTACCCAGAAGGCTCGCCGCTTACTGGACCGACTGGTGGCACGAAACAACCAGCGCATGGCAGTCAAAGTGCGGTCCAAGAGCTGCCATGATCTGGCCGTCCTCTAAAAACACATGTCCTCCAGGAACGTCAGGTTAGACTTTCTTAGACTCGTTGAAGTTCTTGCTGGTTGTGATATCATGGATGACGGTGTCGGTGGCAATTCCCTCAATTAGCAAGCCAACAGTCTGTCAAGAGCAATTCGTTGTGAACTGAGTCAGTAGACAGTACCTGTGATCATGTGACCAGCTCAACTTCATCTTTGACCATTAGGTGTCAGAATATTTGTGACTTTTCTTGATGATGTAAATAGAAAAACAAAATCTGATGCCTGTAAATGATCATCAGTGTAGAGTTAAATTTTTGTTCATTGTTCAGTGTGTGTGTGTGTGTGTGGCCTTGTTTTTCTATACTTGTGAAGCCCCAGATAAGAGAGTTATTATCTTCCCAAGGACCAGAAGTCATTTGTGGGGACCGGAAGCTGATCCTCATGACATAGTTCATCAAATTTTATGAAAACCTTGGGATGTAAGGTTAGAGCAAGTGTCGGCTTTGGTTAAGTGTTAGGTGTTAGGCAAGTAGTGCTTCTGGTTAAGGTTAGGGTAAGTCTCCTGGAAATGAATGTAAATCTATGTAGGGACCAGGTAAGTGACAAAAACAGGGATGTGTGTGTGAGAACAGGATGTCCTGTAATTTCCACTGTGTCCACTGCGCTGTTCTCCTGAGGGCTCTGTTGTTTTAAAGGACCAGTCGTCTCAAAATCACATTTTACACACATCCAGTAGAGGAGATCATCGCCATGATATGTTATAAATATGGGTTTCACTTTATTATTTTTCCTAATTCTTTATTTTACTTTTTTGTTGTTTTTTTTAACCCTCCCCTCTGCTTAGCTATGGTGACTAGTGCATCATGTAGTTAAGAGAAATAATAAAATATAAACACTTTGGGAGAGTTGTTTAGAAAGTAAAAGTGTAGGAAGTGCTTTAAACTGTGCTTATTTGCTCTGACATAGGTTCAAATGTTAGCAATGTTGAGCTAACAAGCTAATCACCAACAGTAGTAACCTAAAGTTACTTCTGAACTAAGAGTTAACACACACTACTAGCTATTTTGTGGGATTACAGTTTATGTTAAGAAAACGTTCACTACCAAAACATCCATTGCATAGAAGCTGTCTGTGGATGACACTGGGCTTCACAGCTTTTAGCTTCATATCATACATGTAGCTATGTACGCTTTTAACATGCTCTTGCGGGGTTCTCATTTTAAAACAGGTCAGCCAGGTGACTCACTTTTTAACCAACTAGCATAGTGCTTTCATTAACTAGCTAACTACAGCTGATGGAATCAGCTATAGAGACAGTTTCAGTCAAATTAATGGTGGCAAGCTGCTTTTGTCATGTTCTAAAATTAAGTACATATTATCAAAACTTTTTATATGAAAAATCTGATCATTGTAAACTAAATATGTGCCATGCAGGAATG